AAGGGTTATTGGAGTTGACCGGTTTGACTTGTTGACTTTGAATTGACCGAAATTTGACGGTTGTCACATGTTGCAAGCCTTCCACATATGTGACCTTGCGAATTGAAAATTCCCCATTAGTGATCATCCCATAACCCTTGATTTCTCCAAGTGAATTGTTGCCGAATTTCACTTTTCCACCATCCTTTAATGCTCGAAACTATCGCAGTTCTTCCTTCCTTCATGTCATGTGACGCGAGCAGCCACTATCAATATATTATTCGGAGTCAAACTGCTCGTCACGAATTACCTACAAAAATCAAAGAGATTTAGGAACCCAAAGTTGTTTGGGTCCACGTGAGGCTTTCACAGAAACAGGAAAAGTAATAGTAACATCAACTAAATAAGATCTTTTGACCAAGGTGGTGTTATCTTTTCTTTTAATTTGAAAAACAGTGATCCTATTATCTTTTAGGTTCTTATCCTTTGTGGATATTTTCCTTTGCTTATTTTGGATCTGTTGTTTGAAAACTTTCTTCTCAACTTTCTTTTCGGACCTCTTAAGTGGAATTTTGGGCTCCGAAACTATCTTTCCTTTGCCTTTAACATCTTACGATGTTTTGGCTGAATGTGAAACATTCTTGTTAGGATAGAAGTGAGACTTTGTCTTCTCCATAGGTTTCGCATGATTTGAAAAAGGTGGTTTTTGAAAAACTTTTTGTTTTGAAACCTGTGGAGTCTGATACGGAGTTCGTGGAGGACCCTTAGGGTTCGCATGTGAAGAGACTTTCGCATTTGGATTGGATTTAGAAGAATTTTCTTGATAAACAAAGTTGGGATTTTTGGATCTCTAGAAATGCTTTCTGTCCTTCAGATTTTTGTTATATCTCGCATTTCTTTGACGTTTTTGAGCTGCGAACTGCTTAGAGGATTTATGAACATTAGCCCTAGATTGCGGCTTTCTAATAGGAGTTTTGGTCTGTACGGATGATGTGTCACTTGGAACATTCTTGGTTCCACTTGGACTCCCCTTTTCGTAGCTTGAGTTGACTTTGTTCAGTGGTTCTGTTACGCATCTGCCTTTCGTCTTCTAAGAGGTCATTTCAGATAGACCTTTGGTTTCATCTGCATTGTCGATTGGGGCTGACTAGAAATATTCATCACAACCATCTTTATTGTCGTCTTCAACCATGGACGTTAGTTCCGCTGTCTGATTTTTATTTAGTCCCTTGGTTGCGAAAACTTGATTGGGGACAGTTTGAACTTTTGGAAACACAGTTGCTTTTTCTTTTAAAACTTTGATTTAACTTCAGAAAAACGTGCAAACTCAACTGAATTTTCAGAAATTAAGACTTTCGCAGGTTTAGGTTCACTTTTAACAAATTCAGAGCAATCAACCTCATCCTCCACATAGATTTCACTCATATCACTATCATCGTCGAATTCAGATGTATTTTCAACATTAAGTTTATTTTTTGAACTCAACTTAGTGTTTAATGAGTTAAACTTCTAAACAGTATCAGATTTAATTTTCTCTTTGTCATTTTCATCCAAAAGCTTTTTCAACATATTTTTGTGATCTTTGGACTGTATGTAGGATTCAATTTTGTCCAGTCCTACTCTGTACGCATCTGAGACTTCGTCAGATGAGACGATAAATTCGCACCTATAACAATCTGCGTCGATTTCGTCCTCTTTCAATTCGAGAAAGGGGAAAATCATCTTGTGAATTTTCTTTCCAATTTCACAATCAAGATGTAACTGGGTGATATTGAAATAAAGATGTTTAGCAATTAAACAAAAATGTTTCGCTGTTTCAAAAGCCCTAAATTATCTCTTTGTAAATAAATCAACTCATCCCTAGACTTAGACAAATCTGACTCCAACTTTTCAATCCACATGCGTCTGTCTTCACTTTTGTTCGAAACCCTGCCGAGTTGATCGGTTAAGTTAGAATTCTTCAAATGGGTTCGTTTTAGACTATCACTAAAACTTGAAAATGTAAATCTTAGGTATTTTAATTCAGTTTCATACCGGGAGATGGGAATGTTTAGAGATTCGAGAATAGAATTTACCTTATTTATCACCTTCTTGCATTCGCTAATCTGCCCAGGGACGGGTTTCGCTGCGAAACAGCTATCGGACACACATCCACCTTCAGTAGCGTTTCCTCTAAGCTTCGAACCTTCATTTGTCACCACAAAGCACCTTCCACTGAACTACGGATCATCACCTTTTGCTACAAAGATTTTTCCATGAGTTGGTCTACGAACCTCTTCGTCTTCAGAGTCAGTTGACCACTCTTCAACCCTGCCAAACTCATCATCATTTTCCTGCACAATTAAAGCAGGTTTAGCATCATCAATACTTTTCTTCTTCTTGGCTTCCTCCAACTTTCTGAGGAAATAAGCCTCGTCATCAATCTCTTCCTTTTTCTCATTCATTCTCTGAATCATGCATTCCTTTGCTAGATGATTATTGCAATGACAATAATTACAGTCATAGCCGGAGTCACCTACAAGCTTCTTCTCTTTCTTTGCTTCTTCCTTTTGAGAGTTGTTCGCACTCTCATCATTTACCTTCTCAGAACTATAACTCCCCTGCCAGTTTCGGTTTTTGTTGTGACCGAAATTCTTCTTTGCGAACCTCCTTGGGTTGGACACCATAATAGCATATTATTCCTTTGAGAATTCACAATCTGAGAGATCTAACTCCGAATCATCTTCAACAATCTTCTTACCATTGGCTATAAGAGCCAAAGAACCCATTCCAGAAATAACCTTTCCTTCACTAGTGACCTCGTCTTCATGTGACCTCAGAATACCAACGAGTTTTGCCAATGAGTAATTTTTGAATTTCTCGTGTCCTTTGACTGTCGACACCACAACTTTCCACTCCGATCTTAACTCGATCATGAACGTTACCTTCTACTCAATCAGTTCACGTTTGATCTTGTGCTTCACCATCCTGCTCAATAGATGGTTGTAGCGGTTGAACGTCTGGTCAAGCTTCTCCTCAGGCTTCTGAACAAAGGCTCCAAACTCCGAAAGTAACAATGTCTGGATGGAGTGTTCAAGATCAGCATCGCTTGAATACGGTTCCATAAGCATGTCCCATATTTCTTTCGCAGTTTCGCAGGAACTCACTAAGGGAAAAGTGTCGGCTGGTAAAGAAAAACAGATGATTCTCATGGCCTTGACATTGTTGATTAGCTTGTCTTTTTCATCATGTGGTATCTTGTCTACTTCAAGAATAAGAGCGTTGTACTCAGCTTGAGTTTTAATAACCCTTTTTGTACCAGAATAAGCGAACGTATCTTTAGTTATGGCATCCCATATCAATGAACCATGGTCTTCAAGTCCTAGCACGTAATCTTCAAAGTGCAGTGCCCACACTTCATAGTCGTTTGGAAACATAATAGGGATCCTTGTTGTAGATCCAATGCCACTTGAGAGATTGATTGAGTTAGCGTGAGAATCATCAGACTGAATGTTGTCGATTTTAACTAAAACATATATGAACCATATGTGTAAACCTAGAATCGAGTTTAGGGTAAAATAAAGATCAAGATTCAACGTCTGTAATCGATGAAATCGAAGAAGACGGCAAACTCAGATCCTATTAAAGCGGAAATCCTAATAGCTCTTTTAACAGAAGAGATACGTATGGATTACATAGTCTCCTGCTCCGATACCAATTGTTAAGAATAAATCTAGAATGATCGATGATTTCAAACAGGTAAACAAATTAAGAACACAGAATGAATATCAAATGTGTCGAATGATTTATAATCACAGCCTTAGAAGAGCTCGATTAAGAACTGCTACTGTAAAGGCGTGTAGGGTTTACAAGATTGACAAAACGACAATTACTAAATCTAGTGCATGCATGTACCTTAAATAGCTAAACCCTAATAATAAATAACGGGTGGACAGGCCCAACCCGGATACAAATTATACTAAACATTAAGCACATAATGACACAATACTAAATACCCAACACTTCAAGCCCTAACTTAGATCTTATGATGTAGAAGCATCAACATGAGAACTTTATACCTTTAGATGCTAGATCTATCTGAATAAAGCTTGGATCCAAAAGCTCCAAGCCAACCAATGACTCTTTAAGAAGCTCCTTCGTCCTCCTTAAGCACTAAAACACACTTAAATCACTAAGCCAACACTTCAACCAATGACTCTTTATGAAGTTCTGTCTATAAAAAATATCATAAGGTTAAAAGTTAAATTTAAAAACAAAACCAATGGCATAACATATAGAGCGTGTTCGACATGTAGCGTTTGAGAGCTTCTAGCTTCTAGCGTTTGACAAAACACTCCGTTTTTAACAGAAAGTCTCGTTTGACACTACAAGCTTCTAGCGTTTAGTTTAAACAAAATATTCCAAATCCAAATGTTACTTCATGTAGCGTTTAACAAAACGCTACAAGCTACCCGCTACCTGCTACATGCTAAAGCTATCCGCTACCAGCTAGTTTGTCGAACACCCGAAACCATCGAACGCTTTCAAAAGATATCTTAAAAATATTATTTTTCATAAACGATAGTGTTTTTGAAATTTTGTCTTAATTGTGTTCTAGAACCTAATCTTAATTAGATTTTTGACTTTGACTAGTCAGCACAAATTCCATATGGGTCCTCGATAGACGATGTCGTTGCGTGAATTTCCAGAAACACCCATCACCTAGTACCCACAACCCCACTAAATCAACTCCTTAAATAGTAATTTTCACCCAAATATTCCGGTCAAAAAGCGGTCGGCGTATTAGAGCTGCAAGAACACGCTTCAAATCAGATGAGATACCTTTAAGTACATTGCACTACTTGCGTTGGATTCAAATTCAATGGAGTCGGAGAAAAATTTACAAGAAAGTATTGAACCGAAAACATCAGATGAAGTTGCGAAGAAGCTGAAGAAGATAAACAGAAGATCATTGATCCTGAATAAATTGAGGTGTTTCGGATCAACGGATTATGGGTACCCGACGGTGGATGAAGTTGACGGAGATGGTAACGTCGATATGCAGTCGGCTTCCACCGACAAGAAACACTCGCCGACTCACCTGGTCGTTATGGTTAATGGTCTGATCGGCAGGTAATGGTATGCGTTATTTTTAGATACACCAAACTCCAAATCCAAAGCCTGCGTATCTTGTTATATATGTAACATAATCGCAGATTTTTAAAATTTCGAGGACCATTGACCACCACAAATGCCAAATCAACTATATGACATGAATCTGGATTTCAATAGGACAATTAGGAAATACAAGATTACAAGTGTGTTACCAATATGTGTATTAGTTGATCATCTGGTTGGTCTCTGAATTTGGCTTAGAAATGGATTAATTTTGACTTTTTTTTTTTTTTTTTTTTTTTTTTTTTTTTTTTTGTGCGAACGATTTTACTGTTGATGGAGGAGGAGTAGGTTTATATGATTAGTTGATATTTCAATTAACTTTATGTTAATTAGGATTAATTATGAGAGGTGAAAATCATAATTAAGGGATGCTGTTTTAGCAAAGATAGATGGTAAATTAGATATAGATGATAATTAGTAGAAGAAAATCAAACATTTGTGATGAACTAGTTTCTACCATGATTTGGCGTAGCTCAACCTCTGTTGATTATTAGAATGTGATAATTGGAATGCCTAGTCTTAATTATAAGTTTGTTGCAGTGCTCATAACTGGAGATATGCTGCAAAACAGTTTTTGAAAAAGTATCCTGATGATCTTATAGTTCACTGTAAGCATTTTTGTAGTGTTACTACTTCCTTACAGTCATACATATATGGTTGATGGATTATGCAATGTATGTATAGATAATAGATATATGGTTTGGATGACTGTGATATATACAGGCAGTGAACGCAACTCTTCATTGTTGACATTCAATGGTGTTGATGTGATGGGAAACAGATTAGCCAATGAGGTTGGTTAATTAAATTTATCCGTTTCTTTTTTTCTTTTGGGTTTGGGTTTGGGTTTGGGTTTGCATAAAATTAAATTAAAAAGAATCTGAAGTTGTGTTTATGCAGGTGGTATCTGTTATAAAACGTTATCCGAATCTTGAGAAGATATCTTTTATCGGTCACTCACTGGGTGGCCTGGTAGCAAGATATGCTATTGCTAAGCTTTACGGAGTCCATACACAAGATTCAAGAATTGGGGGATTAGTGCCTATAAACTTCATTACTGTTGCAACACCACATCTTGGTACAGGTGGACATCGACAGGTCCCATTGTTTGGTGGGTCCAACACTGTTGAGAAAGTAGCTCACCAAATATCATGGGTTCTTGGAAGAACAGGGAGGCACTTATTTTTGACTGATAAGACTCACCCACACCCTCACCCTCCTCTATTGCTTCAGATGGTCGACGATTCTCAAGACTTGAAGTTCCTGTGAGCCTTCATATTCCATACATGGGAGATATTATATGAATTGCTTGTTACTTTCACTAAATCTAATCTTAATTATGCAGTTCCGCGTTGCAGTCCTTCAGGCGACATGTTGTGTATGCAAATGCTCATTTTGACCGTATCCTATTCCTATTTCCTCTGCAACTCATGTGTTAATCTAAATCCACAAATTATTACAATCACATGATTAATACACTAATCTTTGAAAAAGACTTGACTAAAACTAATCAAAGAATAATTCACATGTAGATTTGTTTTCCTCAGCTTAGTTATATATATACAGATATTGTGGGATGGAGTACGTCATCGATTCGTCGTCGAAACGAGCTGCCAAAGGTATTACTATTTATAAATTATAATATTAATTCATTGATTGATTATTTGAAATAACTTGTAATGAATAATGAATTATTTGGTTCCAGCGTAAAAATCTTGTAAGAAGCTGTAAATATCCCCATATATTAAAGGGGGACAGGGACACTACAAAAACCGTAAAACAAGAAAGCCCTTTGCTATTATTGCAACCCAATAATTTCAAGACAGCCACAGCCTCCATGGAAGGTACTCCCTCCACAGTCCACAATATTTTTTTAGATTTAATGGTCACATTTTATTCATCATTTGGATTTGGTGCAACTGCTGCAGAAGCAATGATGAGAGGGTTGACTAAAATAAGCTGGGAAAGAGTTGATGTTAGTTTTAAAGGAAGTAAGCAAAGATATTTCGCCCACAACACAATCCAGGCAAGTTTTTTATAATTTAAATAAACACATCATCTATGTTGGTTACCAATTAACTGAATTCTTATATATATTATATTATATTATATTATATTTTTGTATTATAGGTAAACAGTCCCTGGATAAATTCTGATGGGGCCGACATCATACAACATCTGGTTGACAATTTTCAGTTCTAGCCTGTACTCTAGAGAATTAAATTAATGCAACTTTTGAAGAGGTGACTACACTTCAACAACAGATTCTTTCATCCAATTTTGGGGCTCTTGCTCTTGTTCTTGTATATATTTATAGCTGCCAATTTTGTAATCTGTGGGTCAAATGTGATTATCATGCTTAAGTCTAGGGATCTTTCAGTTGTGAAAAATAAGTTAAGCCAAAAGTAATTTTGACTCTAGCCCACGCAGCAGGTGTTTCTTTTGCAACTTTGGTTCCAGTTTAGTTTTCTTCTACTCACTTCTTGTTAGGCAGTCTCATGGCCTAAATAATACAAGCACTGTTTTCGCCATTCTTGTGATTCTTTCATGAGTTTCTTTCTTCTAATTATGGAATTCAAGATACAGAAAACTTTTTGCCATTGGGTTTGATTTTATATATCTTACTGTATTATTATACAAACCTTACTATTTCGAAAAATAGAATTAAGACGTCCGAGTGCTTAAGCTATTAGTACAACTAACCATCACTAATTACAAAATATAATGCATTAAGTACAATGTTTAATATATATTGAAACATTCAAACCTATCGTCTTATCTTTCCTAATATAGTTCTGGATTTAAATTTTAAAAAAATAAACCTTTTGACTAGAAAGAGTCAACATAATTTTAAAATTTGGGATTTTCTTTATACACACCAACCTATCTCACACATCAATCTAACCTAGCTTACTCTACCAAATCTAATTTAGATTATAGGGTTTTTTTTAATTACACAATAATCTAGACTATTGATTAAATTTGATAGGGAGTACTTGAAACCTCTGGACTTTTTTTTTTTCAATTCGACTTCTTTTTTTTTTTGTGTGTTCATAATTTACACATTTTTTTAATATTATAAAATCGATGCATCTGCCGTTTTTTTAATACCCACCTTTTTAACCCACTATTTTTATTTGTAACATCCAACCTTTATAAGTATATTTTATATAAATATTAAATA